TAATTACAGTCCAACTCCTTCCACACTCAATTTACTAATAAAAACATGATAAACATATTCATGTCTACAAAATTAAATCTTTTTGTGTTGCATAAAATTAGATTCAATGACTATCTTTCACATAAGTGTTTAAGATAAAGAGACATCCCTTAATCTCTTTACCCCCTTTTTCTTAAATTATTTTCTTTAAAGACTGCTTTAATAGGATTTGTTGGTTCTGTTTGTGTTTAATTTTAAGAAAATTATCAAGCAGTAAGCACTCAATGTTCTGTCAGATCAAGTATAATGTAATTTTCTAAAGAATATTTGGATGACATTTTTAAAGTATGAAAATATAGTGTGTATGAAAGTATAAGGTATGAAAACATATCTGTGCCTGTGTATGTATGATGATTCTGCTGTGTGTATTAATACTCACTACATCAATAAGTGTGTGGCTTGTCTTAAGTGGCAGCAAATTTAACCTAGTTTGAAGCCATCTTCTTCAGCATTCTATGAACTGAAGAAACAGTAAGGGAATTGGGTCTGAATTTGTATTTCAGCTCATCAGCAATATGACCTCCAGCAAATCACTTTTTCTCTTTGGGACACAGTGTCTACTCTGCTAAAAGATGGGTTTAATCTGAATAATCTTTCTTGTCTATTCTTGCTACCACATTCTGTAACTACATTGGTATGAACCTCTCAAGGCAATAGCCAATTCTATTGGTGTGCATGCTTTTTTTCTTTTTAAGCATATTCATAACAATATAATATATGATACCCCTAGGCCAGTTAGACCTTAAAGTGGCAATCATAAGATAGTTAGCATGTGTTTCAGGAGTCCTAATGCCATCAAGCTGGACCCATTAAACCATTATTTCATCCTGCATATTTTTAAATGGGTAATCAAGTGTATTAGCCATGAGGAAAAAAAAATACATAGCAGCTAAAATTAAAATGAAAGACATCACTGGTATTGATGTTTAATAACCAGAGGATTCACAATGATAAGAGTGTTAGTGGAGGTGTGGATTGACATATATCATAGAAAATTATATGGTGATATAAATATCAAGCACTGTTGATAGTTATTTACAGAAAAACTATTTATGATAACACTTGAAGACTAGAAGAAAAGATTTCCACACCTAAGGATAAAAAGAAGGACTACTGTGAAATGGGTAGGAGGGATAGAGATATGGTATGGTCAAAACCCACACCCCCAGATGGGCAACTCACAAATAGAAGGATAAAGACAATTGCAGAGTCTCTCCCCAGGGGAGTGAAGGGTCTGAGCTCCCACTGCACTCCCTAGCCCAGGACTCCTCCATTGGAAAACAAGCCCGGAAGGTCTGGCTTTGAAAGCTGGAATTGAGAAAGATGGTAACGATAACCCTATATGAAAAACAGAAAAAAGAGACTCAGATGTATAGAACAGACTTTTGGACTTTGTGGGAGAAGGCGAGGGTGGGATGTTTCAAGAGAACAGCATCGAAACATGTATATTATCTAGGGTGAAACAGATCACCAGCCCAGGTTGGATGCATGAGACAAGTGCTCAGACCTGGTGCACTGGGAAGGGCCAAAGGGATCGTGTCGAGAGGGAGGTGGGAGGGGAGATCGGGATGGGGAATACATGTAAATCCATGGCTAATTCATGTCAATGTATGGCAAAAACAACTACAGTATTGTAAAGTAATTAGCCTCCAACTAATAAAAAAAAAAAGAATATCTGACGAATATTAAAAAAAAAAAAAAAGAAAGCTGGAAATATTTGCCTATGAGAGAGCTGGATGGCTGCAGGAAACAGACTCAGCTCTTAAAGGGTGCATGCATAATCTCATGCACTTTGAGTCTGAGTGTAAAGGCCTTAATTTTAAGGGATCCCAGATCAAATCCATTTGCTGGTCTTGGAGAGTCTCTTGTAGAAGCAGGAGCCAAGTGAAACGCCTTTGGTAACACAGATGCTGGCAGCAGCCACTTCTGAGACTCATTTGGGCACTAGGACACTCATGGCAACCAGAATTGCCCAGTCCTCACTCTGGTCTGTTAGTGCGAAGGGCTTACTCATCCGCTAGATACTCGCCATCAGACCCAGGAGCCCCAGGTGCTGCAGCTGGATGCCCAGGGACCAGAGCTCTCCCAGCAATGGGCTGAAATGAGCTGCAGCCTCTCCTAGCCCCTGACCAGCCACAGGGACCCCAGTCCTGTCCATTGGCAGGCCTGGAACAGTCCTATCCCCTCCACGTCTGTAGCCAGTCACCTCAGGACCTAAGCCTGCCCAACAGTGGGCCAGCAGCCACTGTATCAGGCAGAACCTTTTAGCCAAACTGGCCAGAGGGCAATTCGCCTAGGACTGCTCCTGCAGTAGCTGGCCTCAACACAATAGAAAGGCTAACACAGCTCGCATACAGGGAACCCTATGTGGTGGAGAGATAGGAAACATAACTGACTTACCTAATACATATGAATAGCTCAGCGGGTAAAGAAGCTGCCTGCAATTTAGGAGACCCCGGTTCAATTCCTTGGTCAGAAAGATCCCCTGGAGAAGGGACAGGCTATCCACTCTAGTATTCTTGGGCTTGCCTGGTGGCTCAGCTGGTAAAGAATCCACCTGCAATGTGGGAGACCTCGGTTCAATCCTGGGTTAAGGAAGATCCTATGGAGAATGGAATGGCTATCCACTCCAGTATTCTGGCCTGGAGACTATATCCACTGGGTCGCAAAGAGTCAGACATGATTGAGTGACTTTCACTTCACTGCATGTAAATTGAGGAAGCAGAGAAATAAATTCCAAACAAATGGACAAAATAAAACCTCAGAAGAATAACTAACTTAAGTGGTGATAAGCAACTATCTGACAAAATTTCAAAGCGACCATCATAAGAATGCAAATTAGTGTGATACATCACATTAACAAGTTAAAAAAAAATCTCATATGATCAATTTGCTTCAAGTGTGAATAATTAGAGTTCAGGCTTTTCTAAAGTTGTTACAGCATTCATGGGGGAACATACAAAACTAGAAATCTAATTAATCACAGGATTGCATAACACAGAAGAGTGAGGGCAAATGCCTCAGAGATTTAACTCCCAACTGTCACTAAGTAAAACTTAAGTGTGATCTGTCTATATTGTTCACCTTCCAGAGGCAAGCACAGGAGAACTTGCTCATCGCAGATAAGTTTCTGAGTTGCCAAATTTGAAGAATGAAGAATAAGAACCTTAAATTTCAAAAATGAAGGAAGCAAATATTTAGAGACTTATAAACAAACACTTTATTTACTTATTTCCTTTGGTTAATAACCTGTAATCTAATGGAAAAAACATTGTATTTCTATTTTTTTAAATTACTTTACAATATTGTGGTGGCTTTGCCATACACTGACATGAATCAACCATGGGTGTATATCTGTCCCCCATTGTATTTTTTATTAAAGTAGGACAAATCAGATTTATTTTGATTAATAAACAATTTTACATATGTATATTTTAAACAAAATTAAGGGTGAAAGTTGGATTTTTTTAAAGCACTGTGAAAAGGTATAACCAAGATTTAAAAATTTTTTTGAATATTTTAACAGTAAAAAGTGTCATGTTGTTCGTGCTGTGTGTGCTCAATTACTCAGTCATGTCTGACTCTTTGTGACTGCAAGGACTGTAGCCCAATAGGCTCCTCTGTCCATGGGATTTTCCCAGCAAGAATACTAGAGTGAGTTGCTATTTTCTTCTCCAGGGGGTCTTTCTGAGCCCCAAATTGAACCCGTGTCTCCTGCACTGCAGGCAAATTCTTTGCTGCTGTGCATAATGACTTATTACAATACTAATGCTATTAATAATTTGTGCAAATTCAATCCATAAAAACCACATACCATATTTACTTATCTAAAGCAAAATCAGTTGATCATTCATACTTCAATTCTCATATATCAACAGAGGGCATTCACACACAAGCACACACATGCACATACATATAAACATACACACAAATAGAAGCTTATAGCAAATATATGTTTGTTAATTTTGTCCCATCTATTTTTAATGAACAAGCCAGGTTAAAATCTAAAGGGATGAAAATGCATTAGCTAAAGTTTCTTGTTTCTGCTTGTTTCTAGAATTTTTCTTTATCTGGTCAAGAGACATGTCCTTTGGCACCAGACTTCTCCTGCACGTAAGTAATAATAATGTGGCAAAGCAGGAAAATATTTCTAGAGAAAATCTTGCTAAAATATATCTAATGCTCAACATCTACATTAAAAAGTAGAGCAGAATTTCATTCTGTCATTATTTAATAAACAACAAATAATTAGTTAATAAATAACAAATAAACAATTATTATTATTTAATAATAAGCAAACGGGGCTCCCCAGGTGGGTCAGTGGTAAGGAATCCACCTGCAGTTCAGGAGATGGGGATTCTATCCCTGATTTGGGAAGATGCCCTGGAGAAGGGAATGGCAACCCACTCCAGTGTCCTTGCCTGGTAAATCCTGTGGACAGAGGAGCCTGGTAAGCTTCAACATTGAGTTGAAAGAGCCACAGATGTCTTAGTGATTGAACAAAAAAACGGACAAATAAACACATCATGATTCTTAAGTACTCAAGAAGTGTAATCACTTGTATTCTTAGTTGGATAAGTATCTTTAAAATATAAGGTTGAATACTCCAACTTTGTCTTTAATTAAAGTGTTACTTTCATATTATGTTTGACATGCAATGAGCTTTCAGTAAAGAACTGATTGCTGAGATAAAGCAGTGAAGGTTCCAACTAGTCACATACATCATAGATGACATCCAAATTTAGAGTCAGACTTTCTCAAAACTCCTATCCTATCCCACACTTAACCTTTTAAAATAAAATAGTGAGGAAATGTGTATGGGCTATTTTCTCAGAAAAAAATGTACTGGAATGAATTATATCTGATTTACAGATAATATTTTGTCTCAAAAAGAGTGAAAACATTGATCTGTCATTGTCTCAGTCATTTCTGGAGCATTTTTACAAGAAGAATAAAGAAGAATGGATGGGGAAAATTGCACTTCCTTGAAAAAATTCCTTCTCTTGGGAATTAGTAGTAGCCTGGTAATCAAAGTGACTCTATTTACCACGTTTCTGGTTGTTTATATCATTATTCTCATTGCAAATCTTGGGATGATCGTTTTAGTTAGAACAGACCCCCAGCTGCACACACCCATGTACTTTTTCCTCAGCCACCTCTCCTTCAGTGACCTCTGCTATTCCACAGCCATTGGATCCAGGATGCTGGTTGGCTTCCTCATCAAGAACAAATCAATCTTCTTCTCTGGCTGTGCTCTGCAATTCCTGATCTTCTGTACCTTTGCAGATTCTGAGTGTCTGCTGTTGGCAGTCATGGCCTATGATCGGTACATGGCTATTAGCAACCCCTTGCTGTATACAGTCAAGATGTCCGGCAAGGTGTGCTCGCTGCTGATGGCTGGGGTTTATGGGGTGGGAATTACGGATGCTTTGACAACTACAGTATTAACTTTCCACTTATGTTTCTGTGGGTCAAATGAAATTAACCATTTCTTCTGTGATGTTCCTCCTCTCCTCTTGCTATCTTGCTCAGATACACAGGTCAAGGAGTTAGTGATGTTTATCACTTTTGGCTTCATTGAACTGATTACACTTCCAGGTCTTTTTGTGTCTTACTGTTACATCATCCTAGCAGTGATAAAGATTCGCTCTGCTGAAGGGAGGTTCAAGGCTTTCTCCACCTGCAGCTGCCACCTAACTGCTGTGGCAATTTTCCAGGCAACTCTGCTCTTCATGTATTTCAGGCCAAGTACTTCCTACTCTCTAGACGAAGATAAAATGACCTTGTTTTATACCCTTGTGTTTCTCATGTTAAATCCTCTGATTTACAGCCTATGGAACAAAGACGTGAATGAGGCTCTGATGAAATGTAAAAATAAAAAATGGTGTCATTGAAAATTTGTTCGTATACATTTTCCTCCCAATGTTACACAATAATTTATGAAAATCAAAATTGGTGTGACTAATGTTGTATGATTCTGTTTGTATTTATACTATCTTCCATTCCTAGCAATATATATGCTTTCCTAAATGCCACAGGTGTCATTTTATATCTTAAACTTCTGTTTAATACTCCTTATTTGTGGAAAGTTTTCGGACTCTTCATTTGTCAAATTTGTGTTTCTTCAGTATTTATATGTGTTAATTTTGTTTTTTAAATTTTCTGAAAGTTAGTGTTTTCTAAGTTGCTGTTGCCCTCTATGTGGGCTTTATTTCATGGTGAACCCATCTGCTTATTTACTAATGAATCTTGCCATATAATGGAGGTGACCAATGTCAATTAAATAATTATTCAAATTATTTCTAAGAGACTGTAATTATGACATAATATAAAAAGCCCTGCTGTTGTTTAGTCAAGGTGTCCAACTCTTTGTGACCCCATGAATTTAAGCACATCAGGCTTCCCTGTACACACACATAATCCTAACATCATTTTTATTTAAAAACTAAAAGTCAAATTGTATAGAAATCATCTAGCTATCCCTATGGAATATAAATATGTTGAGGTTTTTGCTGTTTTTTACAAAATCTTTGTTTCATGAGTATGTTTAATGGAGAGTGCTTGTGTGTCTGTGTAAGTGTGTGAGGGTGAATAGGTATGCATTTGTTTTCTAATGCATTGAATGAAAACAAAGTGGCCACATAAGGATTGGTGAACTGGGAATCAGGAATGCTTGCAGATGAGAGGCATTCACTGTTCTGAATAAGTGTAATATTGGGCATTAAGGTAGAGGGGGACCAATGGCAAACTATTCTAAAGGTCTATATTCATTTGCAGTCAGCTTACTTGTATGAATATCAGATGATAAATTACATCATATCTGTTACTTATTCCTGAGAGACCAAGTGTCCACCATCCAGGGATCAGACTCAGAGATAATTATATAATCTGGGTCAGGCAAGAGGCAATGCTGAATGTTCCTGCAGACAGAACTGCATGCAACAAGCAAGTTAGGAGTTCTGGGACAGTACTGATATCTTTGTTGTTTCTTTGATTTATATTTGAGATTTCCTTATTTTTTAATGCTTTTTTGAAAGAAGGTATTACATATAAACAAAGGAACATATGAAATAATACACACATTTTTATTTTAGTTAGTTGTACAACTTGTTTATTTTAAATACATATAAATAGGGAATATAAAAGGAGCAAACATGCATTATGGAAATGGTCAGATAGATTTTAAAAATCTATCTGTTATATTATGCATTATGTATAACATACATATTATATTTCTGTAAATGCTTTAAGTTTTAAAGGAAATTATTTTTGCTTAATTATGTCTTTCTAAGCAGATATACAACTTAAGTCCTAGGGTTGAAAACCTGCACAGTGATCACTAGACCACTGTTCCAATGCTCTTCTCTATCCCTCATCTACATTCAACTCCTGTTTTTTAAATTCCCCTAGAACATAAGAGGATAAGTGGAGGAGAAGGGAATGACAGAGGATGAGATGGTTAGATGACATCTTCGACTCAATGGACATGAGTTTGAGTAAACTCTGGGAGTTGGTGATGGACATGGAAGCCTGGCATGCTGCAGTCCATGAGGTCACAAAGAGTCAGACCCAAATGAGTGACTGAATTGACTAACTGATGACATTATATATCACATAATTGGTTTGGGTAAAATATAACAGTGGGACATAGAATTCCATTGTCCTTCCAAAGACAAGTAATTCTTAAACCGAAGAAAGGCAGAACTCAGAGATACTGAAGGGAAATCTGGCTCAAATAAAATAATCAAACAATATTAAAATTTTTAGGGAATTGGAGTGGGGCCTCAGCTCAGAGGTGAATGTCTCTGAGGTTACAGAAGTGTGATCATGAGAATATTTATTTTATGTGTCTTACAAAACCATTATGGCAGAATACAAAGTGTGGAAGGAGTAGGTTAGGGCAGAAAAGACTCATGCAGCAAACCAAGCCTTCTTTCTTGCCTCTATGACCCTTGCTACCAGCATCTCTGCAACTGGATCTCAAACGCTCATCATCTTCCCAGTATAACTGCAACTTCCAAACAGGAGAATGGTCTGCACTGGCATGTTACTCTATGTGCATTTCATCATTTAGTTCATAGAGACCCTTCCACCCTCTTATCCAAAAATCACCACCCTCTCTATCCCAGTGGGTCCTGAATCATGAATCATCTATCCCTCCTATGCTGAGGTTTGACGGACTTGAGAGGTTAATGGGGGAGTGAGGAATTTTTATATTCAGAAACTGGCTATAGTTCTGCCCTCTCCAGAGGGGGAATAAGAAAGCAATATATTCATCACCTGTGCTTCTTACTTACCATTCTTCTCTAACACAGCATATAACAACATTTCAACATCATTGAGAAACAAAACAAACCAAAACACCCAGCAATCTTGTCAAAAGACAAGTTATGTGAACCACCCAATTGTCAGACCCTTGCTTCACTCAGAGCACATCCTTTCGTTAGTATTAGACAGAATAGCAAAGTGTTAGTCACTCAGTCGTGTCTGACTCTGCGACCCCATGGACTGTAGAGCCCACCAGGATCCTCTGTTCATGGAATTCTCCAGGCAAGAATACTGGAATGGATAGCTATTCCCTTCTCCAGGGTATCCTCCCGACCTAGGGATCAAACCCAGGTCTCCTGCATTGCAGGCAAATTCCTTACCATCACAGACATCAGGAAAGCCACAAACATGGTCATAAATAAGTTGAATTGGAAACAGTCTGATTTAGTTAGACTGAAAGGGTGCTGCAAAAATATACTGCTGCTGCTAAGTCACTTCAGTCATGTCTGATTCTGTGCGACCCCAAAGATGGCAGCCCACCAGGCTCCCCTGATCCTGGAATTCTCCAAGCAAGAACACTGGAGTGGGTTGCCATTTACTTCTCCAGAGCATGAAAGTGGAAATTGAAAGTGAAGTCTCTCAGTTGTGTCCGACTCTTAGTGACCTCATGGACTGCAGCCTGCCAGGCTCCTCTGTCCATGGGATTTTCCAGGCAAGAGAATTGAAGTTGGTTGCCATTGCCTTCTCCAGCAAAACTATACAGTGCTTTGCAAATGTATTATTGTCAACATTTTTTTTTCATTTATATAAAATTGGAGAATATTTCTGAGTCTGTTGGCCTCATGTAGTCCTAGGAAGGTCTTTTTCTTTTCTTGATTACTGAAATCTAAAAAAGGACCAGAGGTTTAACTATAAACATAGTAAATTGATGTATTTACCCTCCATTTCCAATTCCTCTTTCACAACCAGGAATTTCCCAACAGATCTGAGTGATGACTGCTGAGAACTGCAGTGTGGCTACTGACCTCACATTCCTAGGACGTTCAGGCAGAAGGCACGTGCAGAAGAAGCTTTTCCTGCTCTTCCTGCTGGTCTATGGCATAACTGTGGCTGCCAATGTAAGGATGAGCCTGCTGATCAAGGTGAACCCAAACGTGAATACACCCATGTATCATTTCCTGGGCAATCTTTCCTTCTGTGATGTTTGTTACTCCTCTGCTGTCTCTCCCAAGATACTGGCTGATTTCCTATCTGAGTATAAAAGGATTCCATTTGACTTGTGTGCTATACAGATGTATTTCTGGGGGACCTTTGCAGATGTGGAATGTCTCATGTTGGCTGTCATGGCTTATGATCATTATGTAGCCATTTGCAATCCACTTCTTTATACAGTTTCCATGCCCAGAAGACTCAGTACCCAGCTAATATCTGTTGTCTACGTGGAAGGTTTGGTAAATTCAGCAATCCACACCTGTTGTACATTTTGATTATCATTTTGCAGTTCTAATGCCATCAATCACTTTATCTGTGACATCCCAGCCTTGCTAGCCATCTCGTCCTCAGATACATCCATCCATGAGATAATGCTGTTCATATCCAGTAGCTGTGTTGTGGGGACCAGCATTATCACTGTCCTCTTCTCCTAGAGTTACATCATAGCAACCATCCTTAGGATGAACTCAGCCAAGGGGAGACACAAAGCTTTCTCTATGTGTGCCTCCCATTTAACCACTGTGGCTGTATTTCATGGCACACTCCTGTTCATGTATTTCGACCCAGCTCAAGTTACTTCATGGGCACAGACAAAATAGCCTCTGTCTTCTACACAGTTGTCATCCCCATGTTAAACCCACTCATCTACAGCTTAAGGAATAAGAATGTAAATGTTGCCATAAAAAAAGCAATCAGTACTAAATTGTGTTCTGAGTGATACAGTGTTTTCAACCAAAACTACATATGTAAAGATTCTGAGAGCTGAAGTTCAGGAAGTGATAGATTCTTGTAGTCTCATCATTACAGTCTTCTGGATATTACCCATTACTAATCTTTGTGCCTAAATTGAGTGTTGAAAGTAGTAATTGGTGATCTTAATTTGTATCCAGACTAAGAAAAGGGGAGCAATATGCTGTTTTGCAGAGAGGGT